TCTCTTTGAGAAGGAGCACTTTAACTTTCGTTTACAAGCTAAACAAACACAACCAACATTAGCAGAAATGACTAAAGTAGCTATTCAAGTACTATCCAAAAACAAAAATGGTTTTTTCTTGTTCGTTGAAGGTGGATTAATTGATTGGGCTCATCATGCCACAAAGGCTAGATTAGCCTTAGATGAAACTGTTGAATTTTCTAAAGCTGTGCAGCAAGCAGTTGATTTAACCAAAGAGAAAGACACATTGATTATAGTGACTTCAGATCATGCTCATACTGTTTCCATGGCTGGATATCCAGACAGGGGTAACGATATTTTGGGTTTTGCAGATACATCGTCAATTGATAAACGGCCATACACAACAATTAGTTATGCTAATGGTCCTAAGTATAATGTAGACACTTCGGACTGCTCAAGAAAAAATTTGTCTGAAACTGAACTATGTAATTAATTTTATTTTAATATGACAATTAAAAAAATTATTTTAAGAGAAATACTGAGATTTGTGAAAAATACTAACAGTAACACAATTCTGTTATTACCTATTTTTTTTTTTTTTACAAAAAGCTTTTATACTAATTTTCTCTAATCAATCATTTTTTTTTCAAATTTGAATATTAACTTTAGTTGTAAATATAAAGTATGGTTAAAATTCTCTAGGTAAACGTTATAGATTATAATATATTCCTAAACAGCTTAAATAAAAGGGGCATCAATTAAAGCTATATTTTCTATTACAACGACGTAAACTACCCAATTCCGTGACATGACTAAAGCTATGAAGGTATACCCTAAAGAATGTTAGCATGAAGATAAATCTTGTTTGATGATTAGTGTGGGACATGCAAGCAAATGTTTGTGTTTCATAGTATACGAATTATCCTTATTAAATCTTGTTATGTTAAATACACATACACACAAAAGTAAAGGAGACATAGATTTTACATAATGGAATGTAGATATGATATTATTGAGAGCTATTATGAAAAGCTATAATCAAAAGGATAGTATAAATTAAATCATTGCAGTGTCGATGTCTTATTTAACTTGTTATTCCATGTTTCCTGTATAACATTTATATCTTTACATAATAATTAAATTTCATTTAAGAGCGTCATTGATTAAATTTTATTTCAAATGGTATAAGAAAGGTTGAATTTTTGATTCCATTTAAATGTTCATAAATTATATTGATTTAAATTTTAAAATAGTTAATTATTAGATTTTGAAAATTAAATATCGAGGTGGTTTCTCATTGAAAAAATTCCATTTAATGTCAATATCATTTTTAATTTAATAATAGTAACTTTAATTTTATTATATTTTACAGCTGATCCAAACTTTCAATACCCACATCTTGTTCCATTAAAAGATGAAACCCACAGCGGTGAAGACGTGATGGTGTTTGCAAAAGGACCTTGGGCTCATTTATTCTCCGGTAACTACGAACAAAATGTGATACCAATAACAATGGGTTTTGCTGCTGGTATAGGACCTTCCGGTGACTCTAATCCAGCATTGAAAAGCGATGGATATTCTACTACTTTGTACTCCTACTTTTATTCTTTAACATCTTTATCAATGATCATTGCGTATTATTTTAGATAAATAATACATACTGTATTTTAGAATCGTTATGTTTTTTTAGTCTTATGTATTTCGACCGTAAATATTTAAATTTTATGTATTATTGATTAGATAAAGTTTTCTAAATGTTTATACTTTT